TGGCTAGTTTTGATTAATGACTTCATTACAGCAGAAACCGGCTGCCAGCGCTCAGCAATTTCAGGCCTCTCCTAAAAATATACAGCAAGAATCATCCTCTTTGATGAGCTCGGATATTTATGAGTTTACTTAAATGCTTCTAAGAGAGATTGCATTACAATGAAGGTGGTTAGGTAGAAAAGAAAAGAAAAGAAGGAAGGAAGGAAAGAAAGAAAGAAGGAAGGAAGGAAGGAAGGAAGNAGGGAGAGGTCAGAAAGACCTTAACATTTAAGCACTCTGAAAGAAAGGAGAAAATGGGACTGGGATGTGCAGCCATTGGGAGAGAGAGCGAAGGGAAGAAGGGAGGGAAGAAGGGAGGAAGGAAATGGGAATGAGGAGGAGGGAGGGAGGGGAGAGAAGGAAGGATGGAGAGAGAAGGGAGGGTCATCTGGATTTGGCCCTGGCTCTCTCTCCTAATGGGTACAAGTTAAGGTCTTTCTGACCAAGTCGTGGGCCTATTTGTGACCTTCTGTTTCTCCTATTTAAAAGAAAAACATTCCCTGCAGATTATTCACTAGAGAAGCCTGGGGCATTCAGCCTTTTCCACCACAGAGTCCTCTAGATGTTTTAGACTACAGCTGTTACAACACACTGCCAACACACAACACATCTACCGCAAACTGTGATTACATCTGATGTTTTACATTATCCCTGACACTTTGGCAGAAGCGCCGGAATCACAGCCTTGCCTGACGACGTTATTATGTACATTCCAGCAGGCTGCCGAACCCGGGAAATGAAGCCCATCATCTCTCAGGAACATCAAACTGGGATAATGTCACCGGCATTTCCACATCGCAACATTAGGGTTTGAGGAATTGAACGCTTCGCTTCATACACCTCAACTAGCTGGGTTCGTCCAATGTACCAGCCCATAAACTACTGTGTTTCCCTGAAAATACAGCCTACTCACAAAGTAAGCCCTAGCTTGGTTTTTTTACCCATGCAACCAATATAAGCTCTACCTCCCAAAATAAGCCCTAATTAAGACTCTGCTCATTCCAGGGTGCACGGATAAAAATTAAGCTAGGGGAGTGGAGCTGGGCTACTACTTACCTTCAAACAGTTGTAGCCAGGCCTCACACACCACGACACTTACCTTGATCGTCTGTTTCTTCTGCAGCCAGCATGGCTTTCTGGAAGGCCTCTGCAGCTGATCGATCTCCCGATCGATCCAGAGCTCTGTTATTGGCTGCAGAGACCTTCAGGAAAATCTTGCTGGCATTGCCAGATGAAGTACCCTGTTTTCCTGAAGATGAGACCTCTCCAGATAATAAGCCCCCTCGGGCTTTTGAGCGCATGCACTAAAACAAGCCCTCCCCTGAAAATAAGCCCTCCCCAAAAATATTGCAACACAGCAGCAGCCATGAGCTGACCACACTGTCTGGCTCCTGCACCTCAAAAATAATAAGACCTCCCCAAAAATAAGGCCAAGTGCTTATTTGGGGGGGGGTTCCAAAAGAAAATAAGACCCTGTCTTATTTTGGGGGAAACATGGTGGCCCCTGAAGGCCTCTGACAGCGAAGGAGGCCTGGGGCACCACATGCCAATGAAGTGAGTCAATGGACAATATCACCTTCCCCCCCACCAAAAAAAAATAAGACCTGGTGCCTTTTTTGTTGGCAAAAAAATATAAGGCAGGGTCTTATTTTTGGGGAAACATGGTAGAGTTTGCAAAATGCAAAGATTATACAACTCACTTAACCAGTTCTCCTCCTCACTGCCTGGAAAAAAAAACCCCAAAACCATGGCTTAGTATGATGGGTGATTTTTTTTTAAAAAAAAAAAACCTTATCAAAATGCAAGAGAGAAATCGGATGACAGCCAACTGTCAGGTTTCTTGATGAGATGGCCATGGGGAGAGAACTTGGGTAGGGCCGTAACCAAGTTGCAGCTGTCCAAAACGGGCCTTTAATCGGAAGGATATGCTTTCGTACGCTTCGTTAAGTTCAATGGGAAATTAGAGTCTGTCAAATTTGTGCACCTTTTAAACTGCATCCGAGGCCTATCTTTTGACCACAAAATTAAGAACGTCGTATGGATGTGGTGAGAGTTGGAATGCTTGTGTATTATGCTAAAAAAATAACCTCTTTAATATCAGTAAAGTAAAGGTTCTCCTCGCACATCTGTGCTAGTCGTTCCCGACTCTAGGGGGTGGTACTCATCTCTGTTTCAAAGCTGAAGAGCCAGCGCTGTCCGAAGACGTCTCCGTGGTCATGTGGCCAGCATGACTAAATGCCGAAGGCGCACGGAACTCTGTTACTTTCCCACCAAAGGTGGTCCCTATTTTTTCTACTTGTGTTTTTTCTTGTGTAAATATGTTTTATTTTCATTTCATTTCGTACAGTCACATATATACTGTGCATAACCGGGGCATATAACATTGAACAATAAACACAGCCCTCCCTCTTGTCAACAATACCCCCCAAAATACAAACCCAATATACCACTTCGACCCACCATACACCCTTTCTTTCGCCCTCCTCCAACTTTCGTTCTTCCCTCCAACATTCCCCTCTACCCTACTTCCCCTCCCCCTCTATCACTCCTCTCTCCCAATACACTCCCTCCCTTCCCTACTTGTGTTTTTAATGTGCATTCAAACTGCTAGGTTGTCAGAAGTTGGGAGAAGTAACGGGAGCTCACTCTGTTGCACGGCACTAGGGATTCGAACCGCCAAATCCCTAGCGCTGCATAACAGAGCGAGCTCCCATTAATATCAGTAGAAAAGTTAAACACAATATATGTTTCATATAAAGTTAAACAAAGGTTCCGCAATGGGCAAGAATTTGTTTATTTGAAATCCCAAATGCGAGCCGATATGAATTGTCGAGCAGAATTCATTTTTTTGTTTCCAGCTGTGCTGGGTTATAATTTTGCTAATGTATCTCCGTAACTCATAATGATTTGTTTTAGAAACTTGGGTAAATATCTATCAAAGATTAATTCCCTTTTGCACTCTGTCAGATTATAATTCTATTACTCTTAAACGGTTGTTTATTCAAATTCTCCGAACGCGTCATTATGAATGATTAAGAAACATTAACAAAATTATAATCTGATGCCATGTAAAAGAAAGTCATATTGAACCAATCCATTTTGGCAAAATCAATATACGTGTATTTAAAAAAAAAAAAGGACTGGAGACACCATGTTGAACTCTTAAATCACTTCCAGCGTATGGGAGAAGATATTAAAATATGACTATCACAGAGGGTGGCATATTTGCTAAAATTTATACTTGATTTTAATTATTGGAAACCAAATTTGGGAGTTGAGCTCAACCTGTTCCAAAAAAGATGGCGGCTCCTTGAAGCCAGATGCATTATAGCTGGGAATGTTCACTAACTCTCAGTTCTTACTGCTTGACATTCACACCAGAGGTGGATTGCTACTGGTTCGGTAGTAGACATTGGGACAGGGTCGTCAAACTGGTAGGAATGCTGGCTGGCCATGCCCCTGAACCGGTTCCCCGGTTGCCCATGTTTTTTACACATTTTATAATTAACAGGCAACTACGCATGCACAAGCAATGTGTGGCGGGTGGGTGCACGCACGGAGCGAACCAGCATTAACGCCAGGAGCAAATCATCCCTGATTCACACCACATCTGTCCAGCAATGGGGGAAACCCAGATCAAGGTAGCCTTGATTCTTACAGAGGAATTCGAAAAAGAAGACAGGGTAACTCAGAGTTACCCAATATTTCTGGCTTTGTGGACCAGAGGGAGGGGGAGGGGATGGTTCTGCATGAGCAGCTGGCCAGCCTGCGCATGTGCACGCGGCTCCATTTGCGTAAGCGGTGTGCATGCACGCATGCAAATGGAGGATATGTAGCAATAGCAAAATTGCTTAGACTTATATACCGTTTTGGAGTGCTTTATAAATCCTCTCTAAGCAGTTTACAGAGTCAGCCTCTTGCCCCCAATAATCTGGGTCCTCGTTTTACACCTCGGAAGGATGGAAGGCTGAGTCAACCTTGAGCTGGTAAGGATTGAACTCCTGGCAGGGGATAGAGTTAGTCTGCAATACTGCATTCAAACCACTGGGAAGGAAGGAAGGAAGGAAGGAAGGAAGGAAGGAAGGAAGGAA